GAAAATCAAAGTGGTGGTGATGGTGGTGGTGGTGGTGGTGGTGGTGAATCTAGAGTCAGAACCTAAGAGCTAAGTGGAAGAGATAAGCACAGAATACCTGTGAGATGGGGCTCTCAGTCTATTCAGGGCGTCACCGCACTTCTATACCCCTGGGAGTGATGCATTGTGGCAGGTCACCTTCATCAGCCTCCAGGGAACCCTTCACAGAGAAGCTCCTGCTTCCCATAGATCCCTGCTCAGTGACAGCCTCAGAACCACAGTGAGAATACCATGGGGAATGGAGCCTGGAGCATCAGCTATCAGCAGGGCCCTTGATGCAGGGTGTGGAAGAGGGTGTGGGCATAGCTGGGTCTGGAGGCAAGTAGGCAGGATGGCCTCCCAGCTCCTGCCCCTCTCTGCACTCAAGCAGAAAAAAAAAGCCCATGCTCAGTGACCAGTGAAGCAGATGGCGGAGAATATCACTTATATACAATATTTATGAAATAGGAGCTGAGCAGAGCTGTGGCTGAGACTGCCGTCCCAGGCAGAGCAATTCAGCCCTGTGTGATGAACAAGATTGTAATTGGGGTAGTTCCAATTTACTAACCATTTGCAAAAGATTACATACCTCTCACATTTTATCCTCTCCTAATCTTACTTTAATGAACACTACTCTATCCGGATGTATAATTTTCAGGGCGGGGTGGGGGGGACACACATGACAATTTGTAGCCTAGAAGCCAAAGCTGTAGCTAATACATTAACATCCAAATTAGAGAGAGGGAGAGTGACTGTGAGATTTATAGCGAAAGTCTTCCAAAGTCTTCCTCCCCTTCCAAACAGTAAAAAGCAAAGTGCTTCGTCTTACCACCCATGTCTTCCTGATGGGGGTGGGTTGAGGAAACTCTCCTCAAGCTTCACTTGGACCTACGTAGCCACATCACCTTGAGAGGACTCCTTAAGATTGTATCTCTCAGTTGGTGTTCACTGGAGGAGATGGGTCGTTCTCATATGAAGAAGTAAGCAAGGCATATTGGTAGAAGAACTTCATGGAGTCGGTTGGTAAGCAACCCATCCCTAATGCTTAAGGTTTCTAGGAAATAAGTTAATTAACTTAGTTCTACCTCATGTCATCATCTATTGAATGGGCATGAGATGAAACAAAAATGCTGCTGTCTTCCCACCCTCCCTTCCTCCCTCATTCATTCATTCATTCATTCATTCATTCAACAATTTCAAGACTTGCTAAGTGCTGGAGAAACAAAGTCAAATTAACAAGGAAGGAAGGAAGGAAGGAAGGAAGGAAGGAAGGAAGGAAGGAAGGAAGGAAGGAAGGAAGGAAGGAAAGAAAAGGAAAAGATAGCTCATTTCTACTCTTAGTGAACTTATATTAGGTTAAAAAAAATCAGCAGGCTAGGTTGAAAAAAATCTGAGCATTACAGAACTCAGAACAGAATTGTACTCCAATAAAACCGAGGAAGGCATGTGATTTTGACGGCATCCCAGGGATCCTTTCCTGCCTGGGAGGTGGTCCAGCAGGACAACACACCACCATCCCCCACAGTTCCCTCTGTAAAATGGAGCCTTCATGGAAAGTGAGAGACAGCAGAGACTTCCTTCCTGGAGTGTCACACAGAGGAGACCCTTGGGTCAGGGTTCTACTGATGAGAGAAGGAATGTTGGAGACGTTTCACTTACACAAAGGAGGTCAAAGCACACTGGAAGGCAGTCTTGGCATTATACATACCATATTCTAGAACCCTCTCAGAGAACCATCTGAAATGTGAAGCAAGACCATTAGCTCCTCACTAGCTCAAGACAAACAAGCTGTGAGGCAGGGGACTGAGGAGAGATGTAAGAACAATGGGACACTTTGTAAGGACCAGACCTGTCATTTTCCAGCACCTTCTGTGGGCCAGCAGAGGACATGCTCCATGATGGCTATCCTAGCTGCTCCTGTGCAATCTGAGTCAGAGCCATCATGAGGACCAGGTAGAGTGCAAACATGAAGTGTGACAGGCCCTCCTTTTCTAACCCTTGACCCCAAGAGTGCCAGGAAGGGAGAAACAACAACCAAAATGGATTTATCCAGGTCTCTCCAGCCTTCCTCTGCCATATTCCCAGATCCCTTCTGCCCTTTGGCTAAGAATTGAGAAAACCCATAGTGGATCAGGGTCTCTGCTCCTGGGTGGTGCCCATTAGCTCTACCTTTGGACACCTGTGCCCCGTCTGCCTCCTGCCTCCACATCCTCTCTCTTAAATATACACAGAATCACCCAAGCAACAGGGTGTGGGTTGTCTAAGGCCAGCAGGTGCCTAATGAAACACAATCCCTGAGGCTTATGTAAGCATAAGAGAACCAAGAAGCCCCAAGTCCTCCCCAGCCTCCACCTTCTACTCTCTCAGTGCCTGAGCAAGCCCTGGCTGTTGCTGGCCAGGCAGATGCAGTTTGGACTTGATGAGAACTTTATCCCATCTCCCCTCACCGAAGTATTAAGAGCTTTTTGTATTAATGAGAACAATGGAGCTAAGATCTAGGAATATAGCTCACTTGTAGAGTGTTTGTCCAGCACGGGGGCACACACCTGTAATCTCAGCACTTGGGAAGTAGCAGCAGAAGGATCGGAAGTTCAAGATCACCCCTGGCTCCTTGGCAAGTTTGGGGCTAGCCTGTGATACATGAAACCCTGTCTCAAAAACAAAAACACCAGAAAAATGAACCTCCCCACAAGACATTTATCAAACCTTTATTACCTGCTATGACGGTGTTCAGGAATGAGGCCTTTAGGAGGTAACTGGGTTTGGGGAAACTTAACTATTGAGCACCTCAGGGTGGAATACAGCTCTATAGGGCTGAAGGGACCAGAGTTTTATTCTTTGCACATTACCAAAAACCAAACTGATACTTTGGACTTGGATGTTCCAGCCTCCCAGAATACTGTGTGCTGTTTAAATCATCCAGGCTGCAGTGCTTCATTCAATAAGCCACGTAGTGGGTGGGAAGAGAGCCTTCCAGACACCAGCCCCTGCCTAGTATTCTGACGGGTTCCCCCGATCCTAACCCTATTCTTCCTAGCTGGACCTGGTTTTACCTTTCTAAGTGTACGTGCTATGCACACAATTGAAGGGGGAGAGAGGAACCAAACACACAGTAAGAGGGGAGAAAGCAAGCACGTGCGTGCGTGCGTGAGTGCATGTGTGCGTGCGTGCATGTGTGTGTGTGTGTGTGCATGCGTGCGTGCGTGTGTGTGTGTTGGAAAATGGTTGTGAATGCCAGTATCCTGGACTCTGAGCCATTAAACTGGGGCTGCTCTAATCCTCTCAGAGGGGTGTGTTGTTCAGCCCTCTCAGTTTTCCCAGGAATGAGGGTGATCTGGAACACAGAGCTGGTAGGATTATACCAGGAGCAGTTGGGCAGAGTCCAACTCTCCTGCAGTTTGTGTTTACAACACTCTCCTAAGCAGGATCCTGGGGTGGAGAAGTTTCTGGTCGGGGAAACAGGTTACAAAAGAAAAATGACCTCTCCTCTGTTTCCCAGCTCCTTCCTGGATACTGCTTCTTCCTTCTCATTCGAAGGTGGGGCAGTCATAACAACCCCAGTGACAGCTGACACTCACACAGGGTGCCATTCACGCATGGCAGGCACAGCCCTAAACCCTGCAGATGAATTAGCTCATCTACCTTCCTAATGACCTTTGAAGCAGATGCTGCCATCTCCACTCTAAGAAACGGAGACTAGGAGAGGTGACTTGTGCCCCAGGACACAAAACCAGGAGTAATCGGCTGGTGGGGGACTCACCTACAGGAGTAATTGGCTGGTGGGGGACTCACCTACAGACATACCTCTGGCACGGGCTTTCCACTTAGCATGGGGGCAGCTGAGCTTCCTGTTACTATGGGAACTGGTGGGTTGGAAGAAGCAGAAACAGGGGCTATTTTCTGAACGCCAACAGCTAGAGTTTGTCTTGTGACTGAGATAGAGTGACCCGGGCACAGACCTGTGTCCTTACAGTCATTACCCAGGCTTCCATGGTTATGGGTGGGCTCTGGTTGAGTTTCCGGTCAACACCCTCCATGAATTTCCAGGGTTAATGGCCTCTCCTCTCTCCAAGGACTTAATGACCAACCCTGCCACACTGTCAGAAAGCAGGTGGCCTTGTGGCAGCAACTCTCTGAGCCCATGAAAGAAACAAAGGGAATAGTTGATCACAGGTGGTGGTTGACAGCTCGACTGTCTCTGAAGTCTTCAGGATGGGAGCTTCCTGTCTTCTCAGAGCAAGAGAAAACCCTCTCCATGTGCACAAGCCCAGCCCAGAGTGCTACAGCTACCTCTGCAAAGAGAATATATGGTGCACACCCCTCACAGGCCACTAGTGATCCCGGGTGGAAATGCTCCAACGGTGCTGAACCTCCTCCCCCACCTTTCTCCCGTGTCTGGGCAAAGGATGGCTTCTTAAATTTTTGATATTTGTTTTTGAGATAGGGTGTCACTATGGAGATCAGGCAGACCTTGAACTCACCATAATCCTCCTGCCTCAAATACCCAAGTGATGGGATTACAAGCATCTGCCACCACACCCGTCATATGTGTCTTTGGAAATCAGTCAGACTTCAATTCAGATTCAATTCCCAAGCATAGCCCCATGGTGACATTGGTAGTGCCACCAAACTTCTGTGTTCTTATTTTAAGGCCACACTCTCCACCTGCTAAGTATGAATCTGTAATTATATGAATATTTGAATACTCTTTGTGAGTGCCTGAACTTGTGAGCCCTCAGAAGGCCTTGAGTGCCCAGTGGGACGCCCCCTCCCGATGGGGTAGCACCACAGAGGGTGACACAGTGGGGGCATCTTTGCTGTGACTTTTAAAGTTCTCTGGGAAAGGGGAGGTTTTTTAAGCCCCTGTTGTATCCAATTTTATGTTTTAATAACTCCCCTCTGTGCTAACTCTCTTTTCGTCTAACCTGGGCCCTCAAGTTTTCCCTTGGGGTTAATTCTACTCCATCTTCTTTTCAGAAGAGGCCGAACACCACCCAGGCCAACACGCTGTCTCTTCCAGAGTACGAGGTCTCTCTGGGTTGTGAAGCTATTTGGTGGTGACCCTGCCTCTGCCAAGCAGGGATGGATTGCCAAGGCACACGGACTCTCCCAGCCTCTCCAACGGTGAGCCTCCAGCAGCTGCTACTTCTGGCCACCCTGGTGCGCCTCCATAATCCCAGTCTCCCAGGATCGACATTCCAGAATTCTTTGCTCCCTTTTTCTCTGATTACATGAGGGGTGGGTGTGACACAAGGAAAACACCATCCAAAACACTCTGGGACTGGGCCGTCTCCCCATTTCAGTGCCAAGGCACGACCCTTTCAGCCGCTGTTCCAGGGGAGAGGGGGATGGGGACCTGAGAGGGGTGGAAGGGACCCTGCTGGGCTGCACACCCCACGACCCTCTCCAGGAGGTCCCCATCTTCAGGCACCAGCTCTGCCTCCCAGCTTCTTGCCATTCCAGAATCAGCACCATTATCTCTGGATAATCTTTCCCTCTCTCAGCAATGAGGGCTGTGAAAAGCACATGAAGAAGGACCTGTGTTTCTCGGACTTCGTGAATGGGGGATGCATGGCGTTGATTGCAACTGAAAAATCAAGCCCAGGAGTCTCTGGTTGGTGCCTTGTGATTGTGCCTGAGCCAAAGCACCTCCCAGCAGCCGCCACCCTGGCCTGAGGGTAACAGTGGTCTGTCTGCCTTTTCTTTGACTCCCTTCAAGTTTAGAAAATCTACAGTGTATTTAATCTCCCAGCTACTGTGCTTGCCTTTAAATGCCTAATTTGCTGTCAAGAGCTCCAGCAATTCTCTCCCCACTGCTGAGGATAGTTAAGGGAAGGCTTTTGTTTGTCCAATCATCTGGACTCCCCGCTCCCACTCTGCAATGTGACTAGTACCCATGATCCCCTGGGATAGTGCAGGAGGAGATGCCAGAGAGGCCGGGAGATGATCCTCCCTTGCTCCCCACCCCTACAGGCTGCCTATGAAACCCACCTGTCTCATCAATATCCTGTATCCTATGGGCTATCCTGTCCTGTACCCTTTCCATCCCATCATCAGTCTTACCCTGCCCCCAACCGTATCTTCCACCGCCTCCTTCCTTCATCCCTAGTCCCATCCCTCATCTTCCCACCCACTCATCCTTATCTTTTATCCACCACCTTCCCAGCCTTAACTCCATATCCCTATCCTGCACCTCCACTTCCCCATATTCCACCACTACCCTCCATCACCCCTTCCTCCACCCCTACCTTCCACCCTCTTCCCTCTTACCCACCCCCAATCCTGTCACCCCAAGTTCTTCCCACTTCTACTGGTCCATCCTGAGGTCCTGCCTACAATTATGTTCAGGAAAGAACCAGCTCCTTCCAGAGGAATATCCCATCCCATCCCACCCCACCCCACCCCACCACACCACACCCCCCTGCAATTCGAGAAGACCAACCTGTGCCTCCGTGATGCCCACACAGTGGAATAGCTGTCTTAATGGAGGTGTAAAGGGTGCTGTGGAGGTGATCCGCCTGTTATAAAGCTGATGCAAACTTCATGGAAGTAATGCAGGCTCCGCAACTGTGCTAGGCAAGCTGAAGCTGGGGGGGCGGGCAGGGCTGGAAGCTGGGAGTGCTCTAGGAGGAAGAGTGGGAGGGCTGGTTGTGGGGCAGCACTGGAGAGCAGGGAAGCCAAGAGGAAAGCAGGCCCCAATGCTAGGACTTAGGTCTGGTTGTGGGACAGCAGAGGAGCAAGGGAGGTTTCTGGGCAAGAAGATATATAGAATTGGGGTCTAGTGACTTACTCTAGTAATCCCAGAAGTCTGAGTCAGGAGGATAACTGTGAGTTTGAGACTAGTCTGGGCTAGACATGCTTTAGGGGCCAATCTGATCTATGTATGAGATCCAGAAGAAGGTCTGGGGTGCAGTTCATTTGGTAAGTGCTTATCTAGGAAGGATGTATTCCTGGATTCAGTCCCTCCCTAGCACTGCATAAACCAGGTATGGTGGCTCATACCACCTGGGGAGGGGAGAAAAAGGGAGGGGAAGGAAAGGGAAAAGAGAGCAGGGGAGGATCAGAAATTAAAGAGCATCCTCAGCTATATATGGAGTTCAAGGATAGCCTGGAATGCATGAGATTCTGCAGAGAGAGAAGATATCTCAGCACTACTCCTATATTCCAGTTTGGTGCCTCTCAAGTTCTCTATCAAAGGATCACCCCACCCGTTTCTTTCTCTTTTGCTCAGTGAGATTATGGGGTGACTGCAGAGGTGCCTTCTTTGGGACTGAGTCTGATAAGGTGAAACTGGGACTAGCTAGGGCTGTCCAAGGGTTTTCTGCTGAAATACTAGAAAATTGTAGGTTTACCACTGAGCAGGGAAAGGTCCTAGGTTGTTAACTGTGCTGACGTTCCTGCTTCCCAACTGATGAGCGCCACCACCAGACTCCTTTCTCTTCCTATGTCCCTGTCATTTCCCTTGCTTTCTGTCATGCCTCAATTTCACCCTGGACACAGATCCCCCTCCACCGGGACCAGGGCTGGAGCCAGGTGACTCCGATTCCTTCACCCTAATTTTCCCTCTCACAGTTAGGATGCTCTGGATCTAAGTGACAGATCACAAGAAACAAAGGGGCATAGCTCCCTAGAGGGTTCCACAGGCTCGTGTAGCAGAAAGTAGACAGCACACACGTCCACGATCTGGGAGGGCTGGAAACAGAGCGCATATATGAAGGATCTGCCACTCCTATCTGGAGACATCTCCCTTGCTGGTGTCCATGTGGCTAATCTTAGCTGAAGGCCCATATCTTGCTAGGGCCAAGCCCAATGTCACAGAGCTTTCAACTTGCTTGTATTGTTTAACCAACTTGGTCTCTCTGTCTCATCTGATCTGTGTAGGACACAGGACTATCTGTGACACAGCCGCTGAAACCAGAGAAATGACAGGTCAGTTCTAATTGTTCTCCCCCACCCCACACTCCTAGACCCAACATAACTACACCGAAAGCAAGGAACCAGTGACTCTGCAGAGAGAAACTGGAGTTCTTCTCTCCCCAAGAAGGTTTCATGGCAGCTACTTAGCTAAAGCAAACGATGTCATCACAGGCCCTGGAGCACAATGGATGATCCTCTCCTGACTGTGTATTTCCACAATAATCCTAAATTTGTCTTATGAGAGCTCTACTCCTTACCTAAAATAACTTTATTTTTGCAAAGTGAGAGTTTGTGTTGAACAGAAAGAAATGCTTTATTAAGCAATTTAAAAACAGACAAAGGTGATTTGGCATGCCTTGATGTCCTGGAATTCCACCTGATGGCCATCTGCTAAGTGAGCTGCTTAGCTTCCCCCAGCTTGTCCTCTGCTCCCTGACTTGAGTTAGTAAAAGCTTCTCATTTGGTGAGATGATTAGCATAAGGCACTCAGCACATGGGTGTGACACTGGGGGTTTGCTTTTACTTTGAGAGAGGCCATCAAGAAATCACAGACTCATCTAGCTGCAGCTGAAAGTAAGCTTAGCAAGTCCCGTAGCAGACAAGCAAGAGTAAGTAGTCAGGGAGATAGTAGGTTGGCATCTGAGACCATGGATTCACAATGCAGCCAACCTCCATCCCCAGTCTCTGAGTGTCTGACTTTCCCAGGATGTGTCCTTGCCTCTGCTGAGACTCTTGGGTGGGGAGAAGAGAGCCCTGATGTCATAATCTAGAGTTCTGGCCTCTGTGTGTGTGTGTGTGTGTGTGTGTGTGTGTGTGTGTGTGTGTGTGTGTGTGTGTGAGCTTGTATGTGTGTGTGTACCCTCAGGATATCAGGTTCTAAGTAAAAAATACTATGAAGAGTTACAGATCCTACAAAGGGGCTGTTCTCACCTAAACAAGGTGAACTAAATGGTTCTACAATCGTTATGCCTCCTAAAGCAGGGCATACAGCTTACTCTGGCTCCATAGCGGGCCGACGCCAGCCTTCTAATAGACCAAAGGCTCCTATCCTGCAGAGAGTGTGCTCTGTGCCTTTTAGCAGTCCTGTGCCTTGGGCTAGTCCCCTACCCCATCCTTATTCCTTTGTTCCCTTTTATCCCACTCTCTTTCCCTCCCTTCCTTTGTCTGCCCCTTCATCTTTCCTTCCCTTCCTGCTTTTTTTTCTTTTTGAGATAGTGTCTCATGAAGCCATGACCTTGAACTTGTAAATTGAGGTTGGCCTTGAACCTGATCCTCCTTCCTTCACCTCCCAAGTGGTGGGATTATAGGCATAATCCTCATGCCCCGGTCTTTTGTCTTTCTGAATTTTAGTTTTTTGTCTTTGAAATGTAGACATGCAAGCTGCATCCAGAGATGAAATGAAATCATCCGTATGAGGATAAACATGAAGTGCTGTATGGTGGCCAGGATTAGTTGATAAAGAAGATACGGGAGAGGTAACTGGTCCTGCTTCAGAGGGAAACTGTATAGCCTGTGAAGTGCAGCTGCCACTTTGAGATGAGAGACAAACTATATCCGTGTCATGCTCCATCCTTGTCAGGAGTTCCCTTCCCTGACACACACACACACACACACACACACACACACACACACACACACCTTCAAACACTCGGAAAAGTGTGAATGGAAGCCATTCTTAAACTTCCTTCTGGAGTGATAGACAGCCTGTTATAATCACTGGTCCACATAGCAAGCAGGGGTGCAGATTTTTTCTCCCTCATAGCTATGTTGCTAATGTTGTGCTATCTAGTACCTTCTTTTCTGGAGTACTGTACATGACGACAAGGGGAACTATAACATCATAATGTGGTCCCAATTCCTTTTCACCATGGCATCTAGTTGAAACTGATATTGCTGGGGAAAGGATGTGTCATTATGGGTGTATGTGATATGTATTTGGCATGCATGAATATCCGATGGTATGCATGTGTTATGTACAAAGTATATGTATTTGTGGAGTGTATATGTGGTGTGTATGCATGCATGTCTGTGGGGGGGTATACGCTGTGAGCCGTATTGTCAATCTCTCCGAGCAGACTTGGGGTCTCCATTGTAGGGGCATTCAGAAGCATCCCACCCCTCCGAGCATCCCAGCCCTTAAACAGTCTCTACCAGGGTTTGCTGTCAATTGCTGTGCAAGTCAGAAGTGAGCCTGCTTCAAAGATGTGAGTGGCTTTTGGCAGACAGGGCTGCCAAGCCCCTGGAAAGACCGGCATGAGTGGTGGTGGTCTCCCCAGCCGCACACAGTTGGAGCAGGCAGGATTCCTGGAGTGGACATGCCTACTGGGCTGGGCTCCTGCCTGCAGATGCCCATGTTTACCCACAGTGGGATGGAGGAACCTGGACGCTGAGCAGGCTCCCCAGGAATTTGGACAGCCACCCCTGGACAGCCACCAAGGCTCTGCCTTCCAGACTGAGATGGAGCACTGCACATGTGATAGTGGCATGAATGCCACAGGTAAGTAACTTGGTTTCCTGGTGTTCCCTGCCAAACGGGCATCTGTCACCTTGCATTATTGTCATCTTCCATTTAGGCCCCTGCTTTGTGATGCTTTTCCAAATAAAAGAAGGCAAGGGAAGCGATGTGTGGCAGAGCTCCAAGCTTCTCTTAATTGCAAATTCCTTTAAGTACCACTTCCCTGGAGCTGCAGGCCTGTCTGCTAGTCAGGCCCACTTCAGCCTGCCTAATTTTTAACAGGCGGGAGATCATTTCCATCGTGCTCTAACCCTTCCCTTTTGTACATCTGCACGTTCTTGTGTGCAAGGATCTTAAGTTATTAGAGAGAGTAAACCTGCCTCTTTCTTTCATTTTAACACTACATGGAGGGAAAGAGAAAGGACTACGGAGAAAGTGAGACAGAGACAAGAGAGATGGGTGATTGAAACTGAAGGCGAAGGTGTTAGCATTCACAAGTGGGGATGATACTCTGGAGGCAAGTGAGACTGACAGGTTGACCTGATATCAAAATAGTAATAGAACCACTACCCAGAGGTCCTTTGGAACGTTCCCACTCCCCACTTCCATCTGCACCCCCTCCTTCCCCTCTAGGACCCCACTGACTTCCAAACCAAACATGCTAAGTGTGAACAAGGCGCAGCGGGGGTAGGGGTGGGGGTTGGGACCATGCTGGACCTAAGCCATTTGCTCTGCATGGTAGGTCCTGCTGTCTTAGATCATATTATCTGTTTTGGGCCAATGCAAGGATGGAAATGGAGTCAGGAGGAGGAGGCTGTTTTCCTTCAAGGGGAGAAGGAATGCAGAGTGGGGAGCAGTGGAATATTTGGGTGTGTAAATAAGAGGGATGCACCCCAGTATGGTAGGTCCCTTCCTGTCTGTAATTTCTGCCATGGTAAGGTAGACATGGTGATATGTATTGTAAAAGTCATGAAGTGTATTGCAAGAGGTCCCAGACACCACACACACACACACACACACACACACACACACACACACAGAGAGAGAGAGAGAGAGAGAGAGAGAGAGAGAGAGAGAGAGAGAGAGAGAGAGAGAGAGAGAGAGAGAGAGAGAGAGAGAGAGAGAACTGCACCCCCTGGAGGAGGTCAATTCCTCAGGCTAGCAGGGCTGGCCCCAGGTGGCCCACTACTGCCTCTTGTAGTCAGAAAAGGTCAGGGATAGAGACAGCAAGACAGCCTTGAGAAAGTCCAGGGAGAGTTAATATCAGAAACTGCTGGACTGATGCAAAACATGCTTGCTAAATTGCCCTGCTACCGAAGGAAACAGCTGCACAGTAATATGAAGGGAAAGGAAGGCCAGGAGATGGGAATTGGTGTGGACACATCATTCTCCCTGACTCAATAGAGCCTCTCAGTGGAGACTGCTGGCCAGTGACCTGGCCTGTTGGCTCCCTGCAGAACCCTCAGGGGGCTGACAGCAGGCCCTTGGCATTCCCTCTGGAAAAACAGGCAGAAGAAGCATGGATAGGGCAGTGGCTAGAGACACAGAGTAGAGAGAACTCTGTCCTCAGGTACCCAGCTCAGTTCCTGCTGTGAGGCAGCAATGAGAAAGCCCTAACTCACTGGGCTTTGATTTTTCTTTAATGACTGGATGTGGAGAAACAGCAATGACTCTGGAAGAATGAGACTAAAAACTAAAGTGCAGGGCCTAGGGGGACAGCTCAGTTTATAAAGTGCCTGTTTTGCAATCGTCAGGACCTGAGTTCAATGCCCAGAACCCTCGTTAAAAAAGTCAGATGGGTGGTATAAGCTTGCAGGCCAAGTACTAGGGAGGTGAAAGCAGGCAGAGTCCTGGGGTTTCCTGGCCTGGAAGCCTAGCCTACTTTGTGAGCTCAGGTGAGCAGTGAGAAACTCTTTCTCAAAAAAGGAAAGAAAAGAAAAGAAAAAGGTGGGAACTACAACACCAGAGATTGTTTTCTCGCTGCCATACAGCCATATGCAGGTGCCTACATGTGCATGTGTACCTACACACACACACACACACACACACACACACACACACACACACACACACCATGAGGGTGCATTTGGGGGGTGGGGGTGGTTCAGACATAATGAGGTCACAACCATGCCATCCACTGCGTGTTCATACCAGTCTTCCTTGTAGACGAGAAGAAAACATGAGATTGGGGACAGGATGACTCACTTCATTTCTGTGTGCTCATCGGCTAGCAAAGAAGGTAACCTGTGGGCAGGAGCCCAACTCAGCGCCTCTCAGTCTAAATGTCCCAAGACTGCTGCATTCCAACCAGCCTGTCACAGGCTCACTCTGAATCCCCCAAGCAGGAGCGGCCTTGAAGATTTCCCCTTTCCCCTGCCACAGGTACTCCTTGCCTCTATACATGCCTCTGGAGAAAGTGTAGCAGTCGCGGAGGAGACAGGACTGGGGACTCGTCGCTGTCTGGGCTACGCCACAGCAATTGTTGTGGGTTGTGTTCCATGTGAACCAAGCCACCCCTGCCCCCCACCCTCCATCCACACCACACCCCCTCTCCCTGTGAGGAGTCATGACACCAGGATGTCCTGCAGCCTAGATGCGGCTGGAACACAGGAAGGTTGCAAACTGTGGTGACAATCATTCTCCTCAAATCCCAGGTCCTGCTGCCTTGTGTCAACTCAGGCCCTAGTGAACTAGCTATACTCTTGTTCCCAGGCCCACTCAAGACTTAGTCTGTGCGACCTCAACCAAGTCGTAACGGCCACCTAAAGCCTAGTAGCACATCATGGGTCTTCCTTCTTCCTTAGGACTCTCCACCAGTCAGTCCTGTGGGAAGGAAATTGGGATTAAGAGTCAGACACAAACAGCACCAATTCTTCAAATACACTGACCGTATACACTCGGAGCTGGAGAGATGGCTCAGCAACAAAGAGTGCTTTATGTCCTTGCAGAGGAACTCAGCTTCAATTCCCAGAAGCCATAGGGTGGCTCACAATCATGCGTAACTCCAGTTGCAGGAGATCCAATGTTCTCTTCTGACTTGTGCGGGCGCCAGGCATGCATGTGGCACACAGACATACATGTAAGAGAAGTACTCATATGCATAAAACAAAGTAAGTAAATCTACAAAAAATAAATGTATATATTCAATTCATAGAGTATATACTCAGTTTAGGGTCTCTATGTCTAACCTAAACATGGGCTCAGCAGAACCTACCACCTAGGCAGAGCTGGGATTAATAAATGAAACAGAGTCTTTCGAAGCCCTGACCTGGTTCTCATTCACCTCTATAGCCTCAGCCTCTCTTTACGGTGGGCTGCAATACCCATCTTTCAAGATTTCCATGCAAAGTAAATGAAACTGTTGTGCCCAACTTCTGAACCCCAAAATCACCAAGAGGCCCATTTCGATGCAAAAGCAAAGAGTCTTTTATTGTAGATGTTTAATGAGCTAACCCCATTAGCTCGGGCCCCTCACCCCACCACCATGGCAGATGGCTGGAGAAAGACCCCAAGCAACCTTGAGGCAGGGATCTTAAAGGGCAGCATAAGGGGAGTGTCTAGGGGTATGAAAGTCTCAGGATTGGTGCGCTTCCAGGTTTGGGTGACCCGCCCTGTGTTGATTGGTCAACTGGTTGTTATGGCCCATAGGCTCTCCCAGGGCAGTTGCTGTGTTCTGAACGGCACTGTTGTGTACTGTCTGTAAAGCACACCCAGAGCCATAAAGCACAGCCCACCAGCTAACTTCTGATTGGTTCCTTGCCACGAGGAGGGCATCTGGCCTTAGTGACCAGGACAGGAGCGGCAAGGTCATGTAAGCACATGTTAGCCTGTCATGGCTGCTAAAATGGGGGACTAGTCACTACAAAACCTAGATGTTAATTGACCAGCAAGGTGTGGATCCTTTTGGACTTGCAGTAGCTAGCACTCAGCCTCACTTGCTGTTCCCTTGTAGCTCAACCATCTCTTTACTGATGTTCTGGTTATTTGGAATTTTGCTATGTGAAAACAAGGTGGCAAGCATTTGAAAATGGACTAAATTCTGCCCCAGGATGAGGACACACTGGCTTCCTTTGCTGACCTCGGCTACTCCTGCCTCTGTCCCTAGGCCTTTCTCTGAGATGTCTAGCCTTTCGGTCCCCCGGTGGTCTTCCAGCTGGGGTCTCAGAGCCCATTCCACCAGTGATCCAGGGTATTGGCTGCCCCACATGGAAGGCAGATGGTGTTGAGTCACACACTTCTCTCCTCCCTCCGTAGGCTGGGCCTGCTCAGCAGAGCTGACTTCAGCATCCTTTTGGCAGCACATTTGAAGCTGAGCATTCTCGCTCACCGTCTGGGTGGGCATAGCATGGGAGGCAGGGATGATAGCTTTTGGAATTTTCCCTGAAGCTGGAGTATTTCTGGGGAGATTGCACTATATGCCTCCAACATCCCTGCCATTGAACCTCCCGACGACATCTCTTTTTGTTTGCCTGCGTTTCACTCTGTCCCTGCCTGAAAGGCTTCTTCCATTTGCTTTTATATATTCATTTGAGATGACTCCTCCAATATTTAATCTTTATCAGAACCTGGAAGCCTGGTATTTATTTTGCGGTCAGTTGCTCATCCATTTTCCTTGAGGCCTCTGGCAGGAGGCTGGAGAGCCTGACACCCCCGGGGTGGGGGGGGTGCTGCCATCAACGTTAGTCCTGGTGACAGGAGGACAAATCAAAGTGCTTCGGGCTACCAGAAGAAGATAAATCTGGGGAAAGGCTAATGAGTGGGCTGTTCTGCAGCCTGACATGGCTGCCAAGAGTCTTCAGGCCTTCTAGAGGCACAGAGGGGGTCATCTTCTGGGCTCTGGGGTGAGAGGGGATGTGTTTGGCTTGTGTTGAGGCTGCTGACCTGTGTGCTGAAAGCTTCGTATGGCCCAGCATAGCTGGCAGCTGCCTGTAGTCCTAGCACTTGGCAGGTGGAGGCAATCAAGTCAGAAAACAAGGTTTCCCTCAGCTTGGTAGTGTGTTTGAGGGTAGCTTTGGCTACATGAGAATCAGTCTCTAATGAAAAAAAACAAACAAAAATATGAAACTCTGGGCTTCGTCAAAGGGAAGTGGCATTCATCACCCTTGGCTAACAAACCTAGTCACCATATTTACAGTGTGTCAAAAAGGGTTGGGGTAAGAAGATGAAAGAATTTTTTAGATAGCCTTGATCAAATTATTATAAAAAGTTATGGAAGAGTTTTCCTTTGCAGGTTTTGTTTACTTGTTTTGAGACTGGGTCTCATTATGTAGCCCTGGATGTCCTGGAACTCTATATCTTGACCAGGCTGAGCTTGAGCTCACAGAGATCTGCCTGCCTCAGCCTCCTGAGTGCTGGGATTAAAAACATGTGCCACAATGCCCGGCTCCTTTGTAGAATTAGGAGTGGTTTAAAATGCACACTGGAGCCCAGCACGGTGGCGCATGCCTTTAATCCAGGACTCAGAGGCAGGTGGATCTCTGTGAGTTCCAGGCTAGCCTGGTCTACAAAGTGAATTCCAGGACAGCCAGGGCTGTTGCACAGAGAAACCCTGTCTCGAAAAACCCAAACAAATAAATGAAATGCACACTGTCATCTTCATCTCCAAAATGTGTACATGCAGAGCATCTATCTACAGACTGAAGTGCACCAACCAGACTCTTTGGGCGTGAAGGCGGCTTCTATTCACAAAGGATTATATAGGTAGCTAAGAAGCAAGACAACCCGTGGGGTTCGAATCTCCTCATCAAGCTTATTTATTTAGAAGTAGCTGATTGGAGACCCATGGTAACAAAACCTGGGGAAGGGTATTTGGTCTCAGGAAGAAAGTGGAAAAATGATGTATTGATGGCTGCATTGCTCCAGCATGGACAATGGTACCCACTTCCCCTCCTGCCAAAGGAGTGGCGTATATTTAATTCAGCAAAAGTGTTTTGACTGGCTGCCCAGTAACGGGCTGGGCATTTTGGGGGTGGTGGTAGTATGGAAGCCATTAGGCAGAATCTAATCTAGCTGGGGGAGTGTAGGGAAGTGGTTGGTGTCTGCCCCTGTCTAACACCCTCAGAACTGGAAGCAGGTGGACTGCTTGCCTGGGAGTCCTTGGTCCAGAGAGGGAGATGGGGAGCTGCTGAGAGAGAACAGTGGTGTCTACCTGGGGTTTTAATATTCCACCATCGAAAGCTGATCGTGAAGAGCAGGCAAGAAAGGATGGAGAACAGCGAAGCCCGGGTGAGCGGGTTTCTTATTCCTTCCTTTTAACTTCCTCTGCCCCTGCTCTCAGAAGCCTCTGAGCAGATGCGGGGCGCTGTGGTGGCCCCTCCCGCCTGGGCCTGTGCATTTCAAAGCGCAGCCAGGTGAAGAAGTTGTTGCTGGGCTCCTGTGCTGACCCCTCTCCAGCAGGCATGTGATGAATATTTCATAGTTCAGATGTAATCCTGCCTGCGTTTTCCTCATCTGCCTCTGGCCAGCACCTCTCTCTCCTCCCAGTCCTCCATTTCCACCCAAGACCCAGTCCCAGCCTGGTCCCAGTCGGGAAAAATCAGTCACAACCGGTTTATCAGGAATCGGTATGAACCAGCCAAGCGCTGTGAAGAGCTAATCTGTTCAGAGCTAATAAGAACGAACAAAGTCGCCACAGACTCCGCCATGGGCATCGCTGATAAGGATTTGTCAGAAGAATTGCAGGTGAGATCGGAACAGCCCCGGGAAGTGGAATGCAAATGCCTCGGCCCCCCCCCCGGCAGCTTCTCGGGGGCCTCTGCACCCAGGGACGGCCCGCAGGAAACACACAGGGAGGGGCGGGTAGAGGACTGTGGGATGCAGGCCTGCAGAGTCGGGTGTGGAGATGTGGAGTAAAGGATGAGTAAGGGCGAGACAGGAGCCTTGGGAAGCTCTCCTTTCTGTGCTCCTGTCTGATTGGATGTGGTACACAGCGGGTGTTGACATTGTCTAGAGGAGGCCCGGAGACACAAAGCGCTTGCCGGGGCGGTGAGGATCTGAGTTTGAATCCCCACATTCCGTGTGAAACTGAGCCCAGCAATGTGTGTCTGTAACTCCAGTGCTCCTATTGTGACACAGGAAGCAGAGACAGGACTATCTCTAGAGGCAGGGGGCAGGCCAGCTAGCCTGGCATAAACAGCATAGTGACAAATGATAAAGACACAAACTGTCCTTGACCTTTATGTGAACAGTGTGGCACACTCATGTTCTCTTACCAACTCCCCCCCCCCGAAAAAGGCAACAAAAACAAAAAATAAGACCCCCAACATCTGGAAGCTTCAAAGCGGCTGGAGACAGAAGAGGCCTGAGAACCACCCACTGGGACCAGTAAGGGCGAGGCTGCAGAGCTGAGGTCAGAATGTGGTGGCGGAGTCAGGCAGACACGGCCTGGGTCTCCAATTTTGTTGTGCCCAGCTGTTGAAACCCTCAGAAAGTTACCCTCTGCCTTCCTGAGTCTTGGTTTTCTCAAGACTGGTATGGGTGCCATGGAATGGGACACAGGAAGGCTAATAAATATTAGTTATTTTCTGTCAATGATGTTGCTTTTGTTTTTCTGTTTTGGTGCTGGTAGGAACCCAGGGCCTCGTGCACATTTAGTATATATACTTTTCTATCGAGCTCCTCCCCTGAGCTCCTCCTCCACTGAGCTCCTCCTTCTTATCTTGAGCTCCTCCTTCTCCTGAGCTCCTCCTACACTGAACACCTCCTACACTTCCTCTTCTTAGTTGCTGGGCATACAACCAGAGACTATCAGCAATTGAATGCTCTAATTTGACTATTGATAAACTTTTTCCGTAAAAGACACTTTCAACTTTGAAGGCCCAACGGTAGGAATCTCAAAGACTGAACTCTGTTGTTGGGTCAAAGCAGCAATTGACTGAAAGAGCAAGACTGTTTTCTAATAAAACTTTATAAGAACAGGGAGAAGGGCCATCTCAAACCTGTAATTTAGCACTCAGGAGGCAGAGGCAGGAAGACCAATGCCAGACTACTCTACTTCCTGAGTTCCTCGCCAGTTCTGGCTGTTTAGTAAGACCCACCGTTGTTTGGATTTGGTGCTCAGGACTTTCTTTACTGACCCCCTAGTGAAATAGATCCTCAAAACTATGTCAGAACCGCTCTAAGAGCAGGCCTTGGGCAGCATGCCTTTGAGTCAACCGGCTCCCTGCAGAGTCTGGAGGCCTCAGGAGTTGGTGTTTGGGTGGGTGTGGGACTCTGTACTCAAAGGCTGTGCTGGGCTTTGATAGGGAGCAGACTCTAAGAG